GCGAAAGCGCCACAGGTGGCACGATAGCGATTTATCGCGCCGGCGTGTCTCCTGCAGGACTCTCGCTCGGCACTGTTCGGCGAGCTACAAGGAAGGACGCAGGTTTCCCAGATAGTGTGCGAACGATACTGCGGTGAAAAATCCGAGAGCTTCCAGCCAGTGGGACGAGCGTCGTCGACCCGATTTTGTTGCCGATTTATTGTAGGTAATTAATTCGGATGAGCCGCGCCCTTAATAGTTGTCGAGCCACGCGTTTTGTGAATTAACTTTTGTGAAATTTTTGGTAGATTGCGTCGCACGGCCGACGGGCATTCGTCACTCATCCGACTTATATAAAATAAGCTCTCTCTATTTATTTCGCCGCCGCCGACAGTCATTAATGTTAGTTTCGCGTTTATAATTATTGTATGTTGTAAATTATTGGGCTTTTTACGTTCGCGCGATCGATATTCCGATTTGCGCAAAGTATTGCGTCACGCGACTCGTACACCACAGTCATTCTCAATAGTTTTCGTATTCTTTCTGTGCATTGTTAGCGCGTATCTTGTGTGTAGGAAATGAGAGTAAGAGGAAAGCGAAATTCTGAAATATCGTGCAGAAAATCTGTCGGGAGTCTTTGAGCCCGCTATTAGTTTCCGCGAGTCACTCGAAATATATATTACGTATTTCAACGCAAAGGTCGTCGTTATTGTTATTGAGACGTATACCGGCTCCCCGCGAGCCGGCTAAAGGACTGATTCGAGCCGTGTCATCTAGAATTTTCTAGTATATCGAAGCGGATTCACGGACGTGCGTAAAGTAGTTACCGGCGCATTCGAGGGATTTCTTTAGTTGTCGTGGCCTAAATAAGTCTCGTACGGCGGAAATCCTCGCGGCCGAAAAGTCGAGTTACAGCACGTAAGACGCCCGGTAATTTAATACGGTTGCGCACGGTCGTGTCAATCTCCGTGGAAATAATATATTTTATTTGCCTGTAAAATAACTACTGTACGCGCCTGAAATAGGAAAGAATTATACATGCCGATAAGTTAGGAAATCGGAGCTATTTAGAATAATTGAACAGAGTCGCGCTGACATTGAGAACGTAGATTGGGGAGTAGGATGAGTGAGTTGAGAGCGAAAGAGAGCAGAGCGAGTTGAGAACGAAAGCGGAGCAATGCGTGATTTTCGGAGCAATAGCGTGTTAAAATATTTCAAGAGTGGTATTAGTTAGAGTCAAGCGATTAAGCGTGGAGTTGTTAGGAGTACTGTACAATAATATAATAAAGTATAGTTCAGAATTAAATTAACGTATCGATTTATTATACGGAAGCGTACACTACTGTCCTCCAAGATTATTAGAAATACTTCCAGTCATTCGGTCATAAGAAATCATAGATTATCTCATAATCACGAGTTCAGATGGAATGAGGTTGAGGTCTTGGATAAGGAATCTCATTTTAATAAACGCCTCATCTCCGAAATGTTACACATAAAAAGACAAAAGAGTAGCCTGAATTTGCAGACGGATACGGAGTGCTTACATGAGACTTATGTTACTGCGATCGAAAAACTTCCTAAAGGTTAATCACAGCGATGTTTGCATATACATTATTGTGCATTATAACAACAATTGTTTGCGCTGGATTTACCTTTAGTGATTTTAGTGTAACTTATATTAATTTATTTTATTATTTATTTTTATTTTTATATCATTTGACACATCTAATTTATTTATTTTATCCGATTTGACAAGTAATAAGGCCTAATTTATTCCAATAGTACTTGTTTATTATTTGTATTATTTATATTATTTGTGTTTTATCCTTTTGACAACAATATTTTGCTCCGCCTCACTTTGTGAGTTAAACTAATTAAAACATTGTGCTGTCGAAAGCCAAGTCAAGTGTCAAGTTCAATTATATCACCTGTTAATCATCTAGTGCAATCTGCTCTAAACGATATCTTACATGTAAGTTGCTTTAAAGATTGTTCATCTACGCGTTTTTATATTATCATCCGTCAAAACCGCTCCGATTACTTGCAGGCATCATTGAAAATTTAACGCTCATTTTAATAAACGCCTCATCTCCGAAATGTTACACATAAAAAGACAAAAGAGTAGCCTGAATTTGCAGACGGATACGGAGTGCTTACATGAGACTTATGTTACTGCGATCGAAAAACTTCCTAAAGGTTAATCACAGCGATGTTTGCATATACATTATTGTGCATTATAACAACAATTGTTTGCGCTGGATTTACCTTTAGTGATTTTAGTGTAACTTATATTAATTTATTTTATTATTTATTTTTATTTTTATATCATTTGACACTGTAAGTTGCTTTAAAGATTGTTCATCTACGCGTTTTTATATTATCATCCGTCAAAACCGCTCCGATTACTTGCAGGCATCATTGAAAATGTAACGTGCTATCATGCTTGCAAAGTGATTGGATTTTTAACTTTAGACCGAATAATCGAGGAGCTGTTCATCCTATCAACAGCAACGATGCTTTGAGATATTCACCAAGACGACGTGAGAGATCTTTGCCGTATGATTTTCGGATATTTTGCATCTAACCAACTAGATACTTGCGATTCGGTCTGCGTTTCCGTTTTAATTCTATTATTTTAATTCTATTATTGGTTCGTGCGCTGATGATGGCCAAAAGAAAGGCCGAAACGTCCGCTTAAAATGTTTAATGTTAATTTTTAATTTTTAATTATTTTATTTTTTATTTTCTTATTTTAATTGACCATAAATCAATAAACATCCACTGTATAGTCATCAAGTAATTGTACTTTAATTTATTTGCGCCAGACTTACGGCGCTGGTTCTTATTACTACTCTATATTTCATTTTTAGGAATAATATTTATTAAACTATTCATACTTAATTTTACTTTCTAATTTTATTTTGATCTAATTCTGTTTGAACGAAAAATTAGCGTAACATGTGTCGACCCCTACTCATATCTCTCATTTCGATACATCACGTAATCGACATCTGCGAATCAAAATCTGACACGATCTCCTTTTCGTTATGAAAATTTTCAATTATCCTGATGATAATCTCGCCGTTCGCTTTCCTTCGACTTCATTTTCACTTGTGACAAGTCCGCCGGTCTATTCAGATTAAGAATTGTATTGAGAATCGGTCTTGCAGTACGGTCTTGTGAATTTCAATCGCCGAATCGAAGCCTAATACAACTCGCCTTTCTGTTGTCGTGCGAACTGTCGCGGAACTACAATTATTAAAGTATTGCCAAACAAGAATAAACACTGAGTTATTTCCAACAACATCGTCTTTTGACAATCAAGCCTTCTGATAAGGTTATACTAACTGTCTTGGGAAACAATATGTGTAGCTACCAAACCAGCCAGAAAAATATCAAGGAAAAATTCGTAGCAAATTCTCAAAATAATTTTATTACTATTTTTTCAGATAATTATGAAAATATACGATGGCATGCTCCTTCTGGCAGAAATACTATTTCTTATTTTGAAAGTTTTTTATTTCATTTGCGAGAGCATATTCACGATATTTATTCCAACAACAAGAAAGAACGTAGCTAATGAAATTGTTTTGGTGCGTATGGAATTCATAATATATGCATAGATATAGAAAAAATGTATTTTTTTCTGTACTGATATACACTGCTTAAAAAAATTATGGCACAGAAAATATTTGCCGAAAATTGGCCAACTTTGACTACCGATCACTTCGCGAAAAATTATCGTAGACGAATGATTTTTTTTTTCAAAATGAAGCTTGAAGTCTCTACTTTAAGAATGTACCTCCATTTTTTTGCATGCAATGCACTCCTACCCCTGTAATCCCTGAAATCAGAGGGCATACTGAATATTGTAAAGATTGACGGAATGCACGGACGTAGAAAAAATTTTTCGGGGACACCGTTTGCATCGTCATAAAGTTCAAATCTTCCACTTCAATTTGAAAAAAAAAGTGAAACCGCTACTTTTTTTCGCAAAGTTACAGCCCTTCAAAATTACCGTTGTTTTTGGCGTTTGGGCTAAGTACCGGCCGGCGGGTTTAATGACTGGAAGCCATAGTGGAGCCATAGCAAAAGTGTTTGTGGACACACACGCGCGCGCGCATGTTTCTCAGCTCCTGGCTCGTGTTTGACCAGTCATTAAACCCGCCGGCCGGTACTTAGCCCAAACGCCAAAAACAACGGTAATTTTGAAGGGCTGTAACTTTGCGAAAAAAAGTAGCGGTTTCACTTTTTTTTTCAAATTGAAGTGGAAGATTTGAACTTTATGACAATGCAAACGGTGTTCCCGAAAAAATTTTTCCACGTCCGTGCATTCCGTCAATCTTTGCAATTTTCAGTATACCCTCTGATTTCAGGGATTACAGAGATAGGGGTGCATTGTATGCAAAAAAATGGAGGTACATTCTTAAAGTAGAGACTTCAAGCTCCATTTTGAAAAAAAATCATTCGTCTACGATAATTTTTCGCGAAGTGATCGGCAGTCAAAATTGGCCAATTTTCGGCAAATATTTTCTATGCTATAATTTTTTTGCGCAGTGTATTATTCAGTTCATAAAATTAAAATTAACATAATATATGTAAATATGTTAACAAAAATTCATTTTATCAAAACATTATTTCGCCTTATAGATTATTCCATCAAATAACAAGTCACAAACGTTTTCTTATGTTGCGCGTGTTTCAGATATTCTTTTAAAACCATTTAGACTCCGTCCAGCGAGAGAATAATCTCGGAGCGGACAAACACTCGTCCGTTTCGCGCAGGTTTCCACCTATAGAACGCCTAGGAAGCCCCCCCTCCCCCCACATCGCCGTATTGCTCGTGCAGCTTGCCAGTGCTAGCAACGAGTGACAGGTTCCCGCGATTGTGTAATTTAAATATATTACAACCCTTAAGGTAAATTTTCACGAGCCGCTGAAATCTATCGTTTGAGCGACAAAAAGGATCACGTGATCGAAATAGACGAATGAGTGACGACGGTCTGGCCGCTGATTCGTCCATTTCAATCACGTGATCCTTTTTGTCGCTCAAACGATCAATTTCAGCGGCTCGTGAAAATGTACCTTTACTCTTGTAATTGCCTGTCATATTCCTTATTCCTTATTTTAATTTTATATCGCGTGTAAGAATCAGATTTCAATTTTATATCACATTGAAATGAATAAAAATTATTTTATCCGTTTAATTTTCTAAACTGAAATAATGGTTCCAGGCCCGAGGGAGCCGATCTACGTATACGGTATTGAGTACCTCACCGTGTTTTCCCCACTTTGCCCGCCTATGCGCGGACCGAGGTTATCCTCTTGCTGGACGGAGTATAGAGCCAGTTAATCATTAAATTTGTTCTATCCCGAACAAAAAAAAATTAAAAATAAAACAAGATTCGTTATACTTTTCTTTTGTTTAAACTTAAAAATTTATGATAATATATAATTCACGCGATGCGGCTTGGTATTTAATACATATATTACAACAGATAACAGGTGCGGGCCACGGTATCGGGAAGGAATTAGCGATTGGTTATGCATCGTTAGGAGCGACAGTGGTATGTTGGGATATCAATGAAGAAACCAACAAGCGAACGATGAACGAGATTAAAATGATGGGAAAAATCAATATATACGCATACCAGTAAATCAATGTTGCTTGATTTCATAGAATAAAAAGCGATTCGAATAGTTTACGCGCGTACAATTAATCACACATATCTAACTATTGTCAACTGATTAAAAATTTGATCGATATTTTTATAGATGCAACGTAGCAGACAGAAAAGAAGTCTTTAAGGTAGCTGAAAAAGTGAGAAAAGAAATCGGCGAAGTTACTATTTTAGTCAACAATGCCGGTATAGTGTTTGTTAAAAGACTCCTAAATCAAACCGCCGATGAAATTACACGAGTTATAGATGTCAATTTAATATCGCATTATTGGGTAAGTAGCATATTTGAGATACACATGCATACCAGCTATAAGATATATATATATATTTTGCCGATTATAATTATTTTATATATTCATTGCCGATTA